GTGTTTGACTAAAGGGTCATTTAAACAAATAAGTTTCTAGGAAAGGTTATTTGGAACAATTCCCACACTTTAAGATATTCTTAGATTTTTTATTATTACTAGTTATCGGCTCCTCAGTCTGATATGTACAGGTTTGAATCCTGCTTTGCTTATGAGTATGAGGTTTGATGTAATTGACCTTGCCCTGTTCATGAGCAGAGGCTGCTAACTTTGTATTTGGATATGAGCTATTCCCCTGCCCTTAGCGTCCAATCTGACAAAACTATAGAGAAATTTCTAGGCCTTTAAGAGAAACCTTATCAGGAAGGGGGTAAAATGCACCCCCCTCAATGACTACCTTTAGGGGAGAAGAGATCGCGAACCGGGTCGATCTCTTTCAAAATGGATAGTGCACCATACACCAATAGCGCGAAAGCCGTTGCGCGTTAGCGCATCCGTTTTCTTGCTGCTTCGAAAAGTTATCTATCAACCATTTTTTGTGCATTCGATGGCCGAAAAATCTCAACATCACAAATCATTGTCTGATGTAAGTCCAACGAATTCAAAACTAAGGAAAAAATATAATAAAAAACTGGCAACTGTTATAAATATATTAGTATGGACATTACTAATATACGATTGGGCCTGAAGTCCATTAATTAGGGAAGTTAGAATTTAGGGCTTCTCTCTTGTGAACCCTATAAAAGGGTGATATACGACATAAATAAGATTACAGGCTTTTCTGCTCCTCTTTTCTTATTCTCTTTACTGCACATCTTTATGTTTGGTTGATTAATGAATGCTTGTTGAAGATTAAGAGTTCCAATTTACAAGAACAACGGCAGTAAAAGTACAAAAAAGAACAGATGATGGTCCGGGGAGTCCCGACAAAGAATTCAGCTCACCACACGGTTTTGACATTTTGTTTTCCTGAGAAAGTGGAAATATCATACACACACGTGCCGCCACGTCTATACTAGTAACTGTGTATTTGCATCTAATTATTACCTAAGTTATTATTATAAATGAAAAAATGGGCCTGATTTTGATTTAACTAAAATAGTATATAGTAATTTTTCTTATATTTAACTAAAATAGTATATAGTAATTTTTCTGGCTGGATTCCGGATTAGTCGATTCCCCTGTAGATCCAGAAACCGAAAGGTCCCTGTACCAAAAAAAAAAAAAAATAGTATATAGTAATTTTTCTTACTTTTATTCTGTTTTAACATACACAAATTCATGCATTACACTTTACAAAAATCATGCTGAGTCGACTCGTCACCCAAATTCTTGCACGACACTTTGTAAACATCATACGAGTCGATTCGTCGCATTTTATAAATATAATAAATATAATTGTATAAGTATATTATTAAATGTTATACGTCGTTCATTTTATATTATAATAAGTAAAAAGTACATTTATTTTTATAAGAATTATGTTGATCTTGGTTAGAATAGCATAACAAAAAATTATTGTATGTTTCAGATAAAACCAGATGAAATTGGATATGTTGCTTTGTGCCAATGATGACACTCACTAGCCTACAATAAAAAAAATATTATCTTTATAACAAAGTGTAATTATTCAACCACTTTGATTGTGATGTCATAATTTGATTAAATTTAACTGATTTATTTAGTAACTATTCAATTTTGAGACTGTAGAAATCATTGATGATAAAAATATTTTCCTGTCACAATTATACCCATGAAACAATTTAAATAATCAAGTATATTTGTATTTACCAGAATATATATCCAAAAATCAAATGTATAAATCATAAAAAAAAAAAATCGATATCGAGGCCTTATGTGTAACTTATACAAAAGTAAGATCTACTATTTCAAACTGAAACGAATAATTATCACGGAGTGCGCTTATTGGTGGTACGAACTGAAATAAGAACTGAATAATGCGGAAGCAATAAACCGAAGATTTTAAAACTCTTCAGGGAAGCGTC